AATTATTATTATCCTCTGTGTGTGTGTGTTACAGAGAGTCAACCAAGCCAAAGTACTGCATTGAGCTGAGCTCCCACCCAGTGGGGCTGGTCAGGGTGGGCAAGAACGTGGTGGTGGGCTGCACCCAGGAGACCTTGCACGGCTTCACCCAGAAGGTAAGGGCCCCCACCTTGGCAGTCCCAGGTCATAACCCCTTAAGTTACCAGGAGGGGAGGAACGCTGAGGCCTGTCTGCTGCTCCTCAGAGAGCCTATCCATATTCCTTCCCTGATCGGATCCGCTCCCGGATCCTGACCCCGGGGCTCATGGAACATACGTTCCGGCCTCGCACGTCATCCATTACCCCGGCTACAGCTTCATCTGGGGGCAGTCCTGCGAGGAGGTGGGACGGGGGCTGCTCTGTACACAAAGGGGGGCGGGAGGGGGGAACGAGCTGCCCCCGCCGATGTTGGCGAAGCCTTGGCTTCCCGCCCGAAACGGCGGGAGGAGAACGTCCAATGAGCCCTGCTTTACGCAAAGGGGGGTGGGGGGGTGGAACAGGCCGGGCGAAAAGTATGGGCTTCTACAAGAAACCCCCGGATTAATTGGATTAATGAGCTGGCAACTACCAAACGAACTAGACGGTCTGAATTTCCTCCTCTCGTTTGTCACCTCTTGTTCTTAAAAATGACGCGAGATGGGCTGGCCTCTGTTTCAGCCCCCGGTTCGGGCTGTTACCGATTACAGAGGGCCCCCGTTCTTCAGAAAGTACAGGGCTCAACAAGCCAGGCTGTCCAAAATGTCCTCCCTGGCAGGGAAAGAAGCTGTGGACAGCCTACCTGCCGGCTCCCATCACCACCATGAGCCTGATGGACCACCACGCCAGGGGCTTCCAGGCCGTGCTGGTGGGACTGACCAACTGCCAGGTCCACATGTACTGCGACAAGAATCTGGTCGGCGTGATCAAGACTCCGGTAAGGCCCGGTTCTGCTCTCTGGACCCCCGACCCCCCCCCACGCAGTCGAGAGCGTGAATCACCCAGCCGTCGGCCGGGGTCGAAGAAATGACGAGAAGCTCCGTTTTGAAAGGCCGTGGCGAGAGAACCCCCTGGAAACAGCCTAGAGAGGTGAACCAGCACCGAAGTCAAAGGGAATTGACTCTCGTTTCCCGATCCCCTCCTGTCGTTTCAGGACATGGTGACCAGCATTTGCTTCGGGAGGTACGGCCGAGAGGACGGCGCTCTGATTATGACCACCAAAGGTACACAGTAGGGGGGAGGGGGTCTCGTAGCGCCTGGCTGTGCAGACAGAGCAGGAATGTGCGTCTCCCCGGTGGGG